GGGGGTTGTTATTTTTGGCAGAAGAGATTTGCAAAGTCTTTTGCCAAAAAAAAAACCTTTCTCTTTCTACCAGTTATTTTGTATTTGTTGTGTAAGGCACCCGCTCTGTTCATTCATGGCAACCTAAATATTAGAGGTGCCAGGGAGGATTACCAGTGGCCACCCAATGGCTGAAGAGGAATGACACAGAACCCGGAAGTGTTGATGGCGTTGGTCAGGTGACAGAGCAGGGGACCTAAGATGGATCTGGCAGCGCTGGAGATGGGCATACTTTTGTAAGGTGAGAGTGCCATGATGTGCATATATTTGCACATTATGGCAAAAACCTCACCTTCACATAGCGGATTACTTCTGCTTTAAAGTGGAACTCTAGAATCAAAAAGCTAAATGATATTCCTCAGTAGCCACAAAGGGTATAAATCAACTTTGTGTACAACAAATGCCTTTGCATAAACTGTCAAATGTAAAAGTAGCAATAGCATCATTATTATTCTGCACATAGCCTGTGGATGGGACCCAGCAGATCTACAGGGGGGCGGATACAAGACCAGTCACCCTGCACAAGTAGAAGGAGCAACAGTGACTGGTCTTTGTTACAGGGAAAGTATAGGAGTTGTTTTATGCCGGATTACCGGACAGATCTGAAGGAATTAGGCAAAGCAAACCAAGATTGAAGTAAGATACACCTAGCCTCTTGTTAAGCCTGGATTTCAGCTTTATATCTACCGGTGATCTTTTCTTTGCCCAGACTAGGTGAAGTAACTGGTTAGCTGCAGGCACCAGAATTTGCCTATACTTTACTTCCTTTGCTCCCCTGCTGGCTTGATCTATGCCTGAACCCCAACATCTGGTACTCTGGGGTATGGGTCACATGTGACACTCCTGAGTGCCTGAATAGCCTATTGCCAGTGTACTGTCCCATGGGAAATTTGCCGAGCACATTGCAGGTTTTGACTTTGTAGCTCAGGCTCGCCTCAGACTGAAGATCTGTAAAAGGTAGGAACAATGTCATCGGGGGGTGAAGAGCAATTCCAGCTTACCCGTCTTCCCATCACAGCTCCTCTACCCCAGTACCCATCTACTGCCCAGTATGGTGGGAATATTGGTGCGGACTTGCTGTTACATGCCGGCTCTTTGTCTTCCTCTGTCTTATCTTTGGTTGCTGCCTATATGTGATTTCAGTTTTGTATTTACAATGAAGCTTTTTTTGGGACGTGTGTAATATTTATCACTGCTTTACCCTCGATGTTGTACTTTGAATAAATGTTGAATAGGTGTTTTATAATTGTAACACTTTTGTGTCAGCTTTCTGTTCCAGGTGTTTATTCCCTGTAAGCACAACAGCACAGTCGGCTTTCCTGTTTTGCACCCTGTTACAGCGCTGCATATTTTACATAGATTTTCTTTATTGAATTGAAGGAGAACTCTGGATAAATATTTTATTTACCTTTGCAGTGGGGCACTACAAGGGTTAAGTGCTCATTTTTGCCTAGGGTAAAAAATAACACAGTTATATTCATGCGATCCTCCGAGCTGGCCAGCTGTGACAGCGCTCCCTTCAGCCTGTCTCTTCCTCTGCTCCAGCGATGGTATATCCCTTGGTGTCCTCACATACTATATACTGTATAGAACAGGATGACTCAAGGATCCTTAGACCGCTGCAGCAGCTCCAGGGACGGTCTAAGAGCAAGCTGGTTAACTTTTTTTGTTTTTGACCACAGGCAAAAACGAGCTGTTAACCCTTGCAGTGCTGGGGTAGCCCCACTGCAAGAATTGATACGTTTCTTACTTTGATTTAAAGTGAACCTGTTCTTTGCCATGCTGAGATGTCCTTCACTTTTAGGCCTCATTCACATGAGAAAAAGCCAGCCAGCACGTACAGCTCCGTGCCGCGTGCATTGTGATTAGTACGCAGCCCCTGTCTTTCTCTATGAGAGTACGTGGCCGTACAACGCCCTGCGCTCACCCGCCCTGCACGTCCGTGTGGGTGTCCGTACTCGTGCGCTGACAGGATGGATCCTGTCCGCGTCCAAGCCGGGACACCCGCACCTGTAGGGACCTGCACTTGGGGTGAGCGTAGGGGGGGCGTACGGCCGCGTACTCCCGTAGAGAAGGAGAGGGGCTGCGTACTAATCACACACAGCACCTGTCCTTCCCGGGAGCTGCCTTTTTCTTGTGTGATTGAGGCCTTTGCAGTAGTGACAGTGGTCATCAAGACAGGATGTAAGGGGAAATCTCCCCAACAGGAACACATACAGCAGTAAACTCCTGACCGATGTTCTAACCATTCCCCAATATTTCCAAAATAAATGTCAGCTGGAGTTACTTTTTAGATCACCTTTAACCTTTCTGTGACATAAGAGAGCTGTTTTCATTTTGAAATTGCACATGAATTTCTAAGTCTCTCTTTCTTTTCCCCACAGGCCAATGAAAACAGTCTGCTTAGCGCCCAGCTGAAAGGCTTCCCCCTGTACCTTCACTCCAATCTAGGCCTCAAGGACTGCAGCATCAACCCCAAATCCCCTCTCTTGTATATAACCAAGCCCAACCAGGTGGAAAAGGGTGACCTACCAGGAGAAGACTGGACAGTGTTTCAGTCCAACCACACCACTTATGAACCAGTTCTACTGGCCAAGACCAAGTCAGCGGAGACTATACCTCACCTCAGCGTAGATGCAGCCCTCCACACAACGGTGGTCCAGGACCTGGGACTTCACGATGGCATCCAAAGGGTGCTTTTTGGCAACAACTTGAACTTCTGGCTCCATAAGCTTGTGTTTGTAGACGCAGTGTCATTCTTGACTGGAAAAAGGTTGTCTCTTCCCCTTAACCGCTATGTACTTGTAGATATTGACGATATATTTGTTGGGAAGGAGGGAACACGCATGAAGGTTGAAGATGTAAAGGTAGGGATGGTTATTATGGTGGTGATGTAAACGTTCATATTGTATTATGACTACCCTCTGTCTTACAGAGTTTCATTTGTTTTACCGCAATCATTTGTTTCAGGCACTGTATGACACCCAGAATGAATTAAGAGAGCACATCCCCAATTTCACCTTCAATCTTGGCTTTTCTGGAAAGTTCTTCCACACAGGTAGGTGAGAGAGAGAGAGAGATACAAGGCATAAATACATTTAGTTATGTAATAAAGTTACTATAGTCACAAAATTTTGCATATTAAAACATATTTTTTACCAGTTTCACCCAAAACGTGGAGATCAAAGTAAATCTCACATATTTTAGAGCGTGGGTATTGGAGATGCACCGATACCTGTTTTTCAGTATCAACTAAGAGTACTGATATTTTGTTTCCGGTACTCGCCGTTACCGGAAGTCCTATTAAGGATGTATACGCTTGCATGAATGGTCCCCATAGGAATGTATGGGATTGTTCATGTCGGCAGTTCAGCGCGGACAAATCCGCGTAACTGAACCTCCCTGGTGTAAACGGGCCCTTAGTCCCTTTTCACACGGGCGGTCCGATCGGGTCCACCTGTCAGTTTTTCAGACAAACCTGATCGGATGCCCAATGCTAGCCTATGGGCAGCTGTGTGTAAACCCCGTCTCCAGCCAGATCCAGAAAAATACATGGAACAGTGCTACGTTTTGACAGAACTGATCATGCCGGATCAGGGGTAATCTGATGTGAACAGACATTCCCCATAGACAAACATGGGATCCAGTCACTTCAGTTTTTTTCCTCCATCGAAAGATGGATCCCCTCCTGATCAGGCCTTGTTAAATGGTCCTAAGGATAAACTCCTCTTATTTGGTCAGTTTTGGGATTCACTAGTATAGCAAAAGACAAGTGGGCAGTGCTGACACCATTCAATCCAGAAGATTCTTGTTTTTTTTAAGCCCACAATAGGAAATTAGGAACTTAGTGTGTTTCTGGCAAATCAGCAGGAATGTATCTATACTTGCAGGGTCTTTAAATGGATAAATATGGGGAAACGTGCAGGTATTGCAGATATGTACTGCATATGTTATATTTTGCCCTACCATACACTTAACGGGTCTGGTCATTTATCTTTGGAAAAACTGACATGGTCTTTGATCAGTTCTGCTTTGCATCATAGGTAGTTGATGGTGACTTGTTTCATTCTGTGCATTCCTTGCATTTCTGACACAGGTACTGATGCAGAAGATGAAGGAGATGATCTCTTGCTGTCTTATGTCAAACAGTTCTGGTGGTTCCCTCACATGTGGAGTCACATGCAACCTCACCTCTTCCACAACCAATCAGTACTGGCTGAGCAGATGTCCCTGAACCGGAAGTTTGCTGTGGTAAGTCTTTGTTTTCATTTTAGGCAATCTTGACTCTTAAAGTTCTATTTTGCTGTCATATTTAAGGAAACCCCAGTATATATTTGTTATGTGTTCCTATTCACTCAGCATACCTGAAAATCATTTTTTAAAAATATATTTCTTACCTTTTAGGTATTTCTTTGGTGAAGGCCTTTGTGCAGATTCCAGGCTACTTAGCAACGTAAAACAGAGAGACAGACTGAGCTTATTCTCATTACCATGCAGTGCTTCTAAGACTTTGAGTACTTATGTGTACTAATACATTTAAAGCCATGTGGATGAGACCTTTAACCCTTGCACTGCCACAGACATAAGTACTATAAAAGCCCTGTAAACTGACTCCTGTCTGCTTTAACAGCTGGAAGTCCATTTTCATTTATTCAGCTGACTCCCGGCTCTCTGCTGCAAGTGATTTGGACTTCCAGCATGACACCAACCCCCGCAAACTGATAAGTCACCTTCCCTTGCTGCTCCATTCATCCATTGGAGCCCTTGGAAATACCTGATTAATCTGGGAATAGAAGGGAGCATGCGACCTTCTGCCTTTACTCCCAGGATTCAGTTCAGGCCTGAGTTGCCAATTGCCAGGTCCGCACAATATCATGTTAGGGAGAAAAGAAGGTCATTAACCCTGTGTACGCTCAGACACAAACCAATATAGGGTATACACAAGGATTAGACCGTCAACAGACATATGGAGTGTCGGGGGAGTGCAGCAAAGGCAGTATCAGTGGGTGGGATGGTGGAGGGATGAAACCGTAGCCAAAAACATTATTGTAAATTTTTTTAGTTTTCCCTACTTCCATATAGGGACACAGGGGGGTTTCCCTTCGCACAAGCTCCCCATTAACAACAGCTGCTGCTATAGCTTTTCGTACTGAACCGTGACAGATGCAGACTTAAGAGGGCTCCCATGCAAAAAAAATAATGTTGGCCTCCTGTTGACGCCTGTCATTATTATTGCTGCTCTGTCGATGTGCGTTCTCTTTAAGTACGATGCCACCTGGCCACAGTTTTCCTCTCTCTGTGTGAACTCGCTGGCATCCTACAGTATGTTGTGCCTTCCGGCTACTCAAGTCATAAATGATCAGTTCTTCTCTTTCCATTTAGAGTTCACAACTCCAGGGTGCCATCTTTGATATTGCCAACAACACTTGCATCGTGTTTTATGTTGTTCCCTATAAACCCAAACCTAAAACTCTACTTTTGCTAAAAAAATGTATAAAACCTCCATTGTAGCCTCCTTGTGTTTATGTAGAGGTCACTCCCAGAATTATTACTTTGCTGCTGTGGTATTAGCTTACCACTTAGCCCCGAAGCGTGCACACAGTTTGGAGTCAGATTGCATACATCTCTGCAACAGCTGCTTCATTTTGGCTGCATAATTTCAAAGTATCCATTAGACTAAAGGTGCCCATACACTGCAGAGAATCGTGCAGTGTATGGAAGGCGCGCGGCCGTTTCTAATGTACAGTCGCACGACTTTTGTATTTCGAGCATGTTGGAAAACCAGCCGAGAATCGTACGATTTTCGGCTGGTTTTTAACATGATCGAGAGATGACTGCCAAACAGGCCGGTGTGCGCACGTTCACACTGCCCGTTCAGCACTGCAGTCATCGGAAGCTTGTGATGATCGCAGGCACGATCTGCCTGTCAAGATGGGCAGATCGTACGTTTTTTTAATTACTTTTCAACCCTCGCAAGACAAAAGTCTTGCAAGGGTTGTAAAGTATATGGGCACCTTTAGGGTGCCCATACACCTTACGATCGAATAGTCGTACGATTTTCGTACGACAGCCCCATCCTGCCCCGATGATCGCAAGATTAATTTAGCCGTAATTGACGAAAAGCACCTGGACGAAATGCGGTAATTGATTTGCCGTATTTTCGTTAGCGCAAGCGCAGTGTAGATTGTACGACTTTTGACGGACGGAAACGCCAGCAACCTTACGACAATCGTACGATCTAGCAAAGTTTTCAAACATGCTTGACCGTCAAAGTCGTATGATTGTACAGTACTGTCGGTCGGACACTGCAATGCACACATACGATTATCGGCCCGAAAAGTCGTCCGATAATCGTAAGGTGTACTTAATGCTTAAGGCCTCAATCACACTGCCATATAATACGCTGCGCATAGATGCACGCAGCCTTTTTTCCCCATATGCAGCATATGCAAATAAATGGCTCCATATGTTTGCACTGTGTAAAGATGAGCAAAAACAAAATGGAACCGAAATGCGTCCGGGCTCGGAATTTGTGCGTGTTTTACTTGCGTGCGCACATATACGCGAGTGTGCACGCGTATGCACACATAGGGGCATACAGTACATTCAAGTTTCTATTAAAAAGATGCATTCTGGGGTTGCATACAGTTCACACATATACACGACTATACGGATTTACAAATATGCGTACAATTTTGCTCTCGCATTGTGTATGGATGAGGCCTAAAAAGAACTCCGGGCATAATTATTCTCAACCCTTGCAGTGAGGCTAAGTTTTCGTCTAAGGATGAAAATAAAAAGGTAAACTCGCCTTATCCTTGCAGTTGGCTGCTTGTTAGACCGGTCCCTGTCGTCTCGCTCCCCTTCCGCTCCAGCAATCTAAGGTCTTGTGAGTCACCGAAGAACATTCCATGACTGGAGCAGAGGAGGCAGGGACCGGAGTAGTAGCCAGCTGGCTTCAAGGTTCAGGTGAGTTTATCTTTTTTTATGTTCGTCCCTAGATGAAATCAAGCGCTTAACCCTTGCAGTGTGGGGGTAGCCTTACTGCAGGGGTTAAAAATAATTATGCAGGGAGTTCTTCTTTAATGGGTCAAGTGTATGGAAGGCGCGCGGCCGTTTCTAATGTACAGTCGCACGACTTTTGTATTTCGAGCATGTTGGAAAACCAGCCGAGAATCGTACGATTTTCGGCTGGTTTTTAACATGATCGAGAGATGACTGCCAAACAGGCCGGTGTGCGCACGTTCACACTGCCCGTTCAGCACTGCAGTCATCGGAAGCTTGTGATGATCGCAGGCACGATCTGCCTGTCAAGATGGGCAGATCGTACGTTTTTTTAATTACTTTTCAACCCTCGCAAGACAAAAGTCTTGCAAGGGTTGTAAAGTATATGGGCACCTTTAGGGTGCCCATACACCTTACGATCGAATAGTCGTACGATTTTCGTACGACAGCCCCATCCTGCCCCGATGATCGCAAGATTAATTTAGCCGTAATTGACGAAAAGCACCTGGACGAAATGCGGTAATTGATTTGCCGTATTTTCGTTAGCGCAAGCGCAGTGTAGATTGTACGACTTTTGACGGACGGAAACGCCAGCAACCTTACGACAATCGTACGATCTAGCAAAGTTTTCAAACATGCTTGACCGTCAAAGTCGTATGATTGTACAGTACTGTCGGTCGGACACTGCAATGCACACATACGATTATCGGCCCGAAAAGTCGTCCGATAATCGTAAGGTGTACTTAATGCTTAAGGCCTCAATCACACTGCCATATAATACGCTGCGCATAGATGCACGCAGCCTTTTTTCCCCATATGCAGCATATGCAAATAAATGGCTCCATATGTTTGCACTGTGTAAAGATGAGCAAAAACAAAATGGAACCGAAATGCGTCCGGGCTCGGAATTTGTGCGTGTTTTACTTGCGTGCGCACATATACGCGAGTGTGCACGCGTATGCACACATAGGGGCATACAGTACATTCAAGTTTCTATTAAAAAGATGCATTCTGGGGTTGCATACAGTTCACACATATACACGACTATACGGATTTACAAATATGCGTACAATTTTGCTCTCGCATTGTGTATGGATGAGGCCTAAAAAGAACTCCGGGCATAATTATTCTCAACCCTTGCAGTGAGGCTAAGTTTTCGTCTAAGGATGAAAATAAAAAGGTAAACTCGCCTTATCCTTGCAGTTGGCTGCTTGTTAGACCGGTCCCTGTCGTCTCGCTCCCCTTCCGCTCCAGCAATCTAAGGTCTTGTGAGTCACCGAAGAACATTCCATGACTGGAGCAGAGGAGGCAGGGACCGGAGTAGTAGCCAGCTGGCTTCAAGGTTCAGGTGAGTTTATCTTTTTTTATGTTCGTCCCTAGATGAAATCAAGCGCTTAACCCTTGCAGTGTGGGGGTAGCCTTACTGCAGGGGTTAAAAATAATTATGCAGGGAGTTCTTCTTTAATGGGTCTTAACGAAGGCAGATCTTCCAACCTAAAAGTCCAGAGAAAGGGCACAGCCTTTGTGATTAGAAGGAGGTTAGGATCTGCTGTCATTGTCCAGTCAGCAGGCAGAGGCTGTGTTCCTGATCATGCTGTGCTGCAGGTATTGAGAATCTGACAGGGTTGCCTGAATCACACAAATGGCCACAAAGCATGACAAGTGAATTGGTTTCCATACATTTCTTTCACATGTGTAATTAGCCGCTTGCCTGGAGATCAGCCATTGTCCCATCAGTGGAAGAATGTTTTATTATATGTTAGAAATCGAATGTCTTGGTTTTATTTTAGGATCATGGTATCCCCACTGATATGGGCTATGCTGTGGCCCCCCATCACTCTGGTGTTTATCCCATTCACGTTCAGCTGTATGAGGCCTGGAAACAGATCTGGGGAATCAAAGTGACCAGCACAGAGGAGTACCCTCATCTAAAGCCTGCACGATTCAGGAGGGGTTTCATCCACGGTGGAATTATGGTAAGTCCTCAGTTAGCTGCATAACTTTAACATTTGCCAGACATCTGATAAGTTTCATGTTCTGTATAGATTTGGTGGAAACTACAGTTGGGACTTAAAGAACAACTCAGGTTAAAAAATGTTATTAATGTTATTAGGGTTGCACAGATACCAAGTACAGTACTCGGTACAAGTACAAGTACATGTACCGATACTTTTGAGCTCCAAGACTGCACTAGAGAAAAATTCAAAAGTTAGGAGGAAGTTGTCATTTGTAAGGAGCACACGGAGCTCCTGGGATTTGTACATCTCTGTTTTATTGTATGATTTTGTTTTTATAAATATAAATAAATTGCTGCATAGATACCAGTTTTGCGAGTACGAGTACTGGTACTTGCCAAGTACTTACAAGTACGAGTACTGATACATTTTTGTTTATTGTCATGTGACAGTTTTTCTAAAACAATACAGACTAATGATTTCAGGACAGTGGTGGAGTGCCAGAGCCAGGTCCCAGCTGCAACTGCTGCAACCCTGGTAGTTCTCATGAAAATGCCAAGTATCTGCACTGGTACTCGAAAAGTATCTGTGCATCCCTAAATGTTATTAACTCCTGCAGTGGGGCTACCCCTGAACAGTAAGGGTTAACTTCTCATTTGGTCTATGGAGGAAAATAAAGTTATAAACATCTAAGATAGGCAGAGCCAGCTGTCACTCACGCAGCTGGGCAGATCCAGACATAATTGCCGGTATCCTCTTCAGCTGCGGCGTCTCAGTATACCGCGAGCTACAGCTATACTGAGCTTAGGATGACGGGAGGACGCTAGTTTGTGTCCTCCCGTTACCCTAAGGAGAACTATGGGGAAAAGCCCTAACCCCATAGTTCTCCTTTATGATAAAAGCGGCAACAGTATCTTAAAATATGCACCCAGTAAAAAAATACACTCTACTATACACCTAATGGGGAAGTTTACTTTCAAACAAAGTATATTTACCCTTTTTATGCCCAGCCTCAGCTTCCCAACCTGAAGGTGCAAAGTCAATGCACACTAAAGTATTTCCGTATTCTGAACAAGCAGTAAAAGCAGTTTAAAGAATAGGTGCACTTCTAGACAAACTGCACTTATTCTTTTGGAGCTCCCCCCGACCTAAATAATCCCACGCTCCACGGTTCTATATTGCTTGAGAACTGAGGGCTGTTTGTTGACGTCTAGCACTGCATATCTCTTTCTCCTGTGTCTGTCTCCCTGTTGGTTATTGGGGCTGTAATGTGCAGATGCAGCCAGCAGAGGGAGCAGTGTAGCGCTGAATGTAAACAAAAAACTTGCCAGTTGGATCTTCATGAGTAGGAATCTGCAGAGGGAGCGGAGGGTGGGATCATTTAGGACAGGAGTGGGGGGCAAAAGGGATAAGTGTACTTAGCCTTTAAAACAATCCCTCATTCACCTCTGGTATCTATAAGCATTGAAATCGTATCTATTTTCTACGAGAGCAGAATCTTGGCTGACTGCCAGTCCTCTAATGCAGACATCCATGAGTTTCTAAGCATTAAAAGCAACTACAAAGTTCGGCTTGGCCCAGTGCGGCTCTGTGCAGGGAGATCTGAGGGAGATCAGTACGCAATCTCCCTCTGATCTTCTCCACGTTCTCTGATTGCAGGAGTGATGTATATTACATCACTTCCACATTCAGCTGTCCTCCTGCTACAAAAGCCGGAGAGAAGCTTGTAAAGCAGATCTTTGCTTCATAAGCTTCTTTGGGGGTCTTAAAAACCCCTCTAGAGAGGCAGAGCCAACTGTCACATCAGGCAGCGGGGTGGATCCCAACAATATTGTCGGGACCTTTCACGGCTGCAGTGCGGCTCTTGCCAGCTATAGCCAGAGTTTTGGGTCACAGGAGGACATTAGTAAATGTCCTCCTGTGACCCTAAAGAGAACTATAACCAAAAAAGGTTTTGGCCATAGTTCTCATATAAAATTTGCCACAATGCAAAGCAGCGTGGTCATGGCATGTTTACATGGCTTAGCCGCCTTTGTGGCTTTTAGGTGGGCGGCCATGGGGCTGTGAAAACACAGGTCAACTGCCTGTTTTTGCTGCCCGTCTGAATGAGATCTTACACATGTAAACCTAAAATATAATTGACTGTACTCTCCCTTTTGTAGAGAAAAGGTATGACCCTTTTCCAAGAAAAATGTTTTTTTTCCTATTTCCTGTAGTGATGACTTGAGGTCACAAATTGATTTATTTTTACAACCACAAAATTGTGTACGGGTCCCTTATCAGAACTTCTAGGGAATGAGGGGATTTTAGGTGTTTTGTTGAGTTGGGATTTATTTCAGGGAGAATCAGTCCATAAAGTGGATCTGCCCTGTTTCATCCCATTTGGTTCTGGTTAGAAGCATTCTTATGGATCTTCTGACTTGAACAGAACACGCGTTCCTTCAGTCTTCTAGTGACCATAGCTCAGGAGGAAGACAAATGAGTCTTAATAGAGAACCTAAGTGAAATCCTGAACCTTAACTTTTCAAAATTTCCAATCTCTCCCTGCAGGTCCTACCTCGGCAGACCTGTGGTCTCTTCACACACACCATATTTTATAATGAATATCCCGGAGGACCTGTGGAACTGGACAAGATTATTAATGGTGGAGAACTTTTCCTTACAGTATTGCTAAATCCTGTAAGTACAAAAAAAGTGTCTGGATGGACAATGAATCCAGTTTGTGTATAATCACTTCATTTACTGTAAGCCTTGAACAGCTATTGGTATCCAAAGTGTAATCAAGCACTGCTGAGCCACTGCTTTACCTGATCCTTTAAAGCCAACATGTCAGCATTTATTATATTTGTATACTAAGTGCTGGCAAGAAAAGTTCCAAATCATCTTCTGTGCACCTGGGCTGATCTCCGGTCCTGGATATGCATTATTCATTATAATGGAGGACTCAACTTTTCCAACTTGGAGTTCCCCTCCTACCACTGGATGCAAGCCAATGAGAGCTCTGTTGTTGGCAGCTGAGGAGCTCTCAGTGGATAGTTGGATGGGATCATATCTCCCAACTAAGAGTGAGCTTAAAGTGTATCTAAACCTAAGAACAAAGATGTAATCTATTGCGGTTTAGCTGTCCTCAAGTGCAGTGGCTGCATTATCTTATTTTCTCTGGCTTTTTATTTCCTTGATTTTTACCCGGTGTTTCTGCCAGTAATACACTTCCTGCCCAAGGGTGACATTGCTCACTCACCATAATCTATAGAGGAGCAGCTTTGTCACCCTAGGACAGGACTGCAGAATACACCCCTCTCTTCTAGACAAGAGATATACCCACCTGATCCTAGGATCTGGCTGACTGCTAGACCAGTGCCTGCAGCCTCACTTCTCCTCTGCTCCGGTGGTCTAAGGTGCAGTGAGTCATCACATCCAATACAGTCTATTGGACGTGAGGATGGCAAGAAACATTCTATCGCTGGAGCCAAGAGGGAGCGAGGCTTCCTGGACTGGTCTAGCAGCCTGCCAGCTTTGAGGTTCAGGTGAGTATTTCTTTTTTATTTACTTCCCTAGACTAAAACGAGCATATAACCCTTGCGGTGCAGGGGTAGCTCTACTGCAAGGGTTAAGATTATTTCTGCCCGGAGTTCTTCTCTAAGACTCATTACAGTGAATGCTTGGGATCCGAGGGTACTTCAGATTTGGAGCTTCAGTAAGGTACTTGCACTTGCGGCAGTACATTTCTTTAATAAACCTCACAAATGATGACAGGTTTGCTTACACCTCTGATTTTACAGAGCTCCAGGCAAATGTAAAAACCAACATTTAGTCAATGTATTCTCTGAAAAGGAAACGTCTGCTTCAATTGTGCTATACAAAATTACCTATTATGTTTACATTCTCTTTTGTGCTATTTAAAGGACAATTAAACCCTAAATGAAAAAAAGGCACATTATGTGCAAGAGAGCTACTTATACCATTTACAAATGTGTGTGTTGGGGCTTGTGTAGACAAGCAAATGCAGCATGCGTTTAGGAATTTGAGATGCTTTCGAGTTCATTTTTAGCAGCCTTTTGTATTCCTATTGACTTGTACAGGGTACAAAGGTATACAGAAAACACCTATATGCGTTTGTTATGTGCTCCCAGTGACACAGCATAGCCAAAAATATTTTTTTGCAAATATTTCTTCCCTTTTAGCTGTTTGTTTGGAGGAGGCCTTTGTGCAAACTGCAAGCTTGTCTGAAAGGTAGACTGACCCCATAGAACAGGGGTAGCCAAACTCCGGCCCTCCAGCTGTGGTGGAACTACAAATCCCATGAGGCATTGCAAGATTCTCACTGCCACAGACATGACTCCCGGAGAGAGATGCATCATGAGATTTGTAGTTTCACCACAGCTGGAGGGCCGGAGTTTGGCTACCCATGCCATAGAAAGACTAGGGACAGACCGAGCTTCCTCTCATTCACATACAATATGTCAAGATCTTTAGGCCTTTGTTAGGCCAGGCAGTGTTCAAATACTAGTTTACAACTGATAACTAGATCTGCCAGCACAGTACAGACAGGGCTAATTATGGTAAACATTAACTTCACATCTCCCTCCTCAAAGGAGAACTATGGGATGAGTGAAATACACTTATCCCCATAGTTAGAGCTGACGTGTGACACTGAAGCTGTCACGTTTTGGGTCTATTGATCAAGACCTGATCGATCAAATACCTCTGATTGCTCCCTGCAGAGTGGTGACTGTCAGTCGCCAAACCAAAAAAGGTTTGGCCGTAGTTCTCTTAATATTACATAGTGGGGAAACTAGGTAGGATTTTTAAGCAAGTGGCACTTGCGATGGAAGCAGCATTTTTTAAGTTATGCAACTTAAGGTGCATAACAGGGTGTTAACAGCGATATTTCCGTGTTTGCGGATGACACCAAAATTGGGAGGGTAATAGACACGGACTTAGACACTATAACATTACAGGAGGACCTGGATAAAATAGGGGAGTGGGCATTAATGTGGCAGATGAGGTTTAATGTCGATAAATGCAAAGTAATGCACTTTGGAATTAAAAATAAACAAATGGGTTATACAATTATGGGTATGCCGCTGGGGAAGTCAGAAATGGAGAAGGATTTGGGGGTCATTGTAGACCACAAACTGAAAGGTAGTTTGCAGTGCCAGGCTGCTGTAAACAAAGCTAGCAGGGTCTTGTCCTGTATTAAAAAGGGGATGTATTGCAGGGACAAGTCTATAATTTTGCCACTTTATAGATCATTGGTTCGACCTCATCTGGAGTACGCGGTCCAGTTCTGGTCACCAGTACTAAGAAAAGATGTCCTTGAGTTGGAAAAAGTCCAGCGGAGGGCAACCAAACTAATTAGGGGTATGGAGGACCAGAGCTACGAGACGAGGCTACTAAATTTAAACATGTTCACATTAGAGGTGAGGAGATTAAGGGGGGATATGATTTCCATGTACAAGATGTTCAATGGTGGTAGCAACATTAGCGATAAACTGTTTAAAATTAACTCCGTTACAAAAACTAGAGGCCACCACCTAAAATTGGTGGAAAAAAAATTCCAGCACAAGGGGCGAAGGGGGTTCTTCACAGTAAGATCAGTTAGGGTCTGGAACTCACTGCCACAGGCGGCGATTTCAGCAAATAATGTGGAATTGTTCAAGAAACTTTTGGACGATTTCTTAAGGGACCGTAATATACAGGGGTACAGGTACTCCTAGAATGAGATCCTAATAGGTTGGACTTGATGGACTAATGTCTTTATTCAACCTCAAATACTATGTAACTATGAATGGGAACATACCAAATATAAAGTAGGTGTTATCCCAATTAGGCTGCAAAAGTGGAGATGCACTTTAATCCCATCTTCCTTATCATTAAAAGAGAACTATGTGGTAAGTGTTTTTCCCCATAGTTCTCTTAGGGGTAACGGGAGGAAAAATACTAACCTCCTTGCGTGACCCAAAACTCAGTATATCGCGAGCTACAGCTCGCGTTATACTGAGACCGCCGCAGCCGGGACGGATCCCCACATTACTGTCGAGATCCACCCAGCTGCGGGCTCTGCCTATCTAGAGGCAGAGACAGCTGTGCCCGCCCCCCCCCCCGTCCGTTCCTCAAGTCAGCACTGGAGGATCAGAGAGGGGAGGGAGGGAATCCCTGCGGGGAGCGGTGACTAACAGTCACCGCTCCCTGCAGGGAGACGATCGAAAAGTGAGCGAGCAACGGTATGTGTTCGCTCACTTCCCGATCTATTGAGCCGACGTCTGACCGTTTCATTGTCACACGTCGGCTCAAACTATGAGGCTGATGTGATTTTCACTCACCTCATAGTTCTCCTTTAAGCTCTGCCTTCTCTTTGTATGTGAGTGTGGAAGGGATTGGAGTCCATTACATTGATGTTCTAAGGTTTTGAATGACAGAGGTTATCATACCGTCTGCCTTCTGTCATTCTCATCTGCTAGCAATGCTATGGTAAAATTGCAAAATAATTAGTTCATAATCAAGATACTTCAAAAAATGTTAAAGCTTACAAAAAAAAAACAGTTACGGGGACATGTGACCCTCCAGCCTGCTTTCCACAGTGCAGCCCGGAGCACGTTTCAAATCTGTAACATAAAAAACTTGCACAATAACTTTTACGGCAAGGCAGTGGGGAAGCCAGGTCAAAGATACAGAGTAATAAAGTAACATTTTATTATCAAACATAATGTCATTGTAACACATTTACTGCTTTAGTTATTAGAATTTTCCCATCAGGTTCTGCTTTCTCTCTGCCGCTGAAAGCTCAAAGCTAGACAGGAGCAAGGGGGTGGGCTGAGACATCAGAGATGAAGGCATTAAGTTAAGGAGCGGATGAAGGGAAAGGTGACCCCCCCCCCTACATCACCATCGCAAGCTACCAGTCTCTCAGATCATAGAGGATGCTAAAGGGACAAGGTCACACATCCACAGGCAACTGGGATCCAAAGCAGTCCCACCGGTTGCATTATGAAGAGTTTGGCAATGGCACAATATAAACAGGTATGCTTAACAGAAGTGTTGGGCTCCTAAACCTGGATATGTGTCTTCAATATTCACTGTAACTTCGGTTCCACTTTAAGGCTGCCAGCTGTGAGTGTTGGTGCAGATTTTGAGACTGTTCAGTGGCTTAAATCAATAAACTGCAGGTTGTTGTAGTCTATAAAAGAGCCATTAAATACAGCATCAATATTTAATGAAGCAGCAATGGTACCTTAGGGTTCTTCCTGGGATAAATGTATCGTAGTACACACATAATGCTCAAGCTTCTTGAAAATTCTAAGATTTATTTCTCTTAGATAGCAGAGCACGAGTTTGATTTCCTGGAAGGTGTTTATCGGGCAATTGGGAGAAGGACTCCGGGAATCAGCCTGCGCTGTTCTATACTGGCCTTGACAAATCACTGATTTCATATTCCTATGTGTGCAGAAAATATTCCCATCAAGTTAAATGGACCAATCGCGCAACAGTGAAAACTTACATTAAATAGCAACTCCAGACATAACACTAAAAATACATTTGAAATCTATAAATGTAAGCTGTATTACCCAGCTAAAGATTTGTCATTCTGTTTAGCCAGTCTAGTTTTCATGGTCTAAAACTCTACTACAGGAGCAGCATAGTTTAGTCCAGTATACTAACCCAGACTACACAATGGTGAGTCATGTTCTGGTCTTCAAGGCCTGCTTAAAGTGATCCATGTCATTACTATCCCATCTAACAGTAACTGTGAGGAGGTCAGTCAGTAGGAAAAACAATATTCCAGCTAATCGAGCAAGGATGGAAAATGTCATTGCAATCAGACAAACATACTGTGCATAGTCTTTGCAGATCTGACTTCTTAGGTCTCATTCACACAAGAAACGTCCGACACGTACAACTCCGTGCTGAGTGCACGGCTGTGTCGGGCCGCTCCCAGGAAGGACAGGTGCTGCATGTGATTAGTATGCAGCCCCTGTCCTTCTCTATGGGACTACGCGGCCGTTCCCTGCCCTACGCTCATCCCAAGTGCACGTCGGTGCGGTAGTCCGTACTCGTACGCTGACAGGATGGATCCTGTCTGCGTTGGAGCCGGGACACCCGCACCCGTACGGACCTGCACTTCGGATGAGCGTACGGCCGCGTAGTCCCATAGGAAAGGACAGGGGCTGCGTGCTAATCACACGCAGCTCCTGTCCTTCCCGGGAGCTGCCTGATACGGCTGTGCACGCAGCACGGAGCTGTATGTGCCGGCCATTCCTCGTGTGAATAAGGCCTATGAAGTCAGATCTGCAATTTGAGAGCTGTGACCTGAAAGTGAGCGCAGTAAAGCATTTACAACAGCCTCTATGCACAGATACTGTTAGATGGGATAGCACGGATCACTTTTAACAGTTCATGCTTCTCCTTATTAACAGATATGGGCACAACTTCAGTATTTAGTAACCTGTATGAACACGAAAATTAAAGGAGAACTATGAGGTGAGTGCTTTTCCTTCACCTCATAGTTCTAGATGACCTGTGACAATGAGACTGTCACAGGTCGGCTCAGTAGATCGGGTGGTGAGCGAACACATACCATCGTTCGCTCACTTCTCGATCCTGTCACGGCTCTCTGCCGTGACAGGGGAGGGGCTGTATTCCCCCCTCCCCGCTTCGATCCTCCAGCGCTGACTAGCGGAACGGACGGGGGAGGGGGCAGGTACAGCTGGCTCTGCCTCTTGAAAGGCAGAGCCAGCTGTCACGCAGCTGGGTGGATCCAGACATAATTGTCGGGATCTGTTTCAGCTGCGGCGTTGGAGGGAGGGAGGATGCTAGTTTGTGTCCTCCCGTTATCCCAAGGAGAACTATGAGGAAAAGTCTTAACCCCATAGTTCTCCTTTTACTCTCCTGTGGGTAGAGGAATGCAATTCAACAATATGCAGTCTTATGCTGCCCATACACTTTGTAATTCTGTTTGTAATTTGGGATTTTTGTCTGCTTTCAACCATATAAATCTGCCTCCCAAGATGTCGGCTTTTGAGTAACCAGACATTCACAATTGCATTGGAAATCAATCATAATCACTGTGTTGAAAAGCTGTGCCTTAGGAAATGGAAAGAATTGAGATTTGATGGCAGATTGTTGTATTTGAAAGCTCCAAACTGCCAACAAAATGTGTAAGTGTGTGGACATTGTCTAGGGCGTTTGAGGAGCGCCAATGAGCACCACTGCTGTAGTAAGCAATGACTAAGGGGGGGTTATGCTGCAGTCAAAATTTACATTTAAACCTTGATAATCATATGGGAGCGCAGTTTGTCTGTCTATCCAGACAGCACCAGTACACCAGAACCAGTTCACAGCATTCTTTTTCATGTGTAATCTGGTGATCCTGAAACACACCTGTTGATAATGCTGGAACACCCTTTATGCTGCCTCTCACAAACAGCCTGACAGGTTCACTCTAGCTACCTGTCACTGTGACTGAAAGTAAAGGGGATTCCAAAATGCTTCAAATGTCACAGAAACAGGAGATGATGCTAAATCTACCAATGGGGACACATGCTTTGGTGACATCTGTGAAAGGTAAGCATTACCTAGTTTTAGAGAGAGCTACCTCTATTTCTTGTTGTGTCTTCAGGGACAGGAATTAAGAGGAAATCTCTCTAATGAGGACACAGGCAGTACTGAAAACCTAATTGAGGTTCATACCCTTCAATGCAATATTCATTTATTTTTTTATGATTCACCAGTCAGGCTGCAGCACCAACATTCGCCTGCAGGTGGTACCACTGTTAAATTGTGACACTGCAATCTTGACAAAGTAGGATTGTTACAGGAAGGGAAATTCCTCATTTTTTTTACACAATGGGCCTCTAACAAGAGTCTGCTATGTACTGGAATCCCCTTATTAAAGAACCCTGTATAGAGAGAAATATGTAGGCCACCACTGCTGACCTCCTTCGGTAAATACTAGTTGCCTTGGCTGTCTTTGGTTTCAATAGTTTGAGCCACAGATCTGAAAATCAGAGCAAAGTCAAACTCCAGACCTGCACACTTGCTCTGGGCCAGTGACCCAAAAAGTAAATGCCGTTGGATCAGTGTGACAGCCAAGCAATTTCATTAGAGGACAGCAAAGGCAGCTTACATATTTTTTTCAGTACTGGCTTCCTCTAAATAGGGAGAAAGGATGATATATTCTTTTGGTGCTCAAAATTACTCTAGATTTTCATTTATTATTTTGTCTGCTTTCTTTTTATCCCTTTTATTTATGAACTTTGTCGTTGGTTATGCATAGTTTGCATTTTTCTTTATGTCTTCTGACTTTGTGTGACGCAATGTTGTTTCAGATCAGCATTTTTATGACCCACTTGTCTAACTACGGCAACGACCGCCTAGGTCTGTACACTTTCAAGCACTTAGTGCAGTTCCTGAACACCTGGACAAACCTCAAGCTGCAGACTCTGCCTCCCGTAGACCTCGCTCACAAGTATTTCCAGATATTCCCAGAGGAGAAGGATCCCTTGTGGCAGGTACAACGCAGCTGCAGAGATGTCTCCGCGCCTGTGTTTGGCGCTGCACGCTGTCAGCTTCCTGGCGGGCTTGGCACGTGGAGCTGCGAACACGCCCGAGCCCATCACTACTCCAGATGGATACTTACTGGAATTGGACTACCACGACTGTCTATTGTTTATATCCTTGCTACTGGATTGCTATGATGCATGTGCAATGGGTCCTTGTAGATTTTTAGACCACCTTTAACCAAGTGCCTCTAGTCAGTCTACGGGGGTGCACTGCACAGGTATTGCTACTGGCAAGGACGTTTTCCAGAGACATTGCGGATTACTTTAGATCTGGCGTGGGATGAATTTGGCAAAGGATATAGGGGAAAACATGTAAAAAGATACCTGAAGCACCACCACTGGGAATTATGAATACTTAAAGTGATATTAAAGCCAACAAAAAAAATGTATTTCTCCTTTAAGGAGACCCTCCTTTGCTGGAGGATGTTGCATTTTTTCTTTAAAAGTACTTCTTTCCTCGTTTTCTAGTGTCTCCCCGCCATGCTCTTCCCCCCGCCCCCTGCACGGGTGCCACCATCGTTCTAATGGAGGCACCCGTGCGCGCTTGTGCCCGCAGCAGCTGTGTGCGTCCATAGACACACACAGCCCTGTGGCAGGCCACGCCCCTTCCCTCTTTGATTGATGGCAGAAGGAGCCTATGGCTCCTTTGCCATCAGTATCCTCCCCCCGCAACCCGGAAGTTCGGGGTACGGTGGATCACTTCGGGACCAGCGGCGGGGACGAGTGCAGCTGATAGGTAAGTCTGGGGGGGACTGGGGTAGAAAAAGGTGCTGGGCTGTTTTGACCCTAATGCAGAGAATGCATTAAGGTAAAAAACGCCCAGACCTTAATGCTACTTTAAAAAGACACTAAACTCAGGAGTTAAATCTTAAAAATGCATTCAAGTACCTTAATTATTAACAAAAATGTATCTTATTTGTGTATCACTCAGTTGTAAATCCTCCAATCATCGCTGAATTGGTGCTGACACTGTCCTTCCTTCTGGAGGGTGGCTACTTTTGTTCCCCATGGTCCCTGTGTGTGTTGTAAAGTAGCCACCGCTTCAAGCTCCTTCCCGTGATGGACTACAATCTCAGGTTTAGTTTACTAATTTGTATTGAAATTATAGTCATTCCCGGGAGCGAGTTTGAACCGTGAATGACTATAATTTACAACACACACACGGACCATGTGTAACAAAAGTATCCACCCTCCAGGAGAAAGGACAGTGTCAGCACCAATTCAGAGATGATTTGGGGATCTACAGCCGAGTGATACACAAATAAGATACATTTTTATCAATAGTTAAGGTACTTGAAAGCTTCCGATTTAACTCCTGAAATTAGTGTCACTTTAATATTAAGAAACAATATTAGTGCTGCAGCTCTCTCTCTCTCTCTCCACCCCCACCAACTAATCGATTAGTTGGTTGCAGCCCTAAACAATATTTCATATTTACCACAATTAAATAAAAATTATTTTTCAATCATTATTTTTAGAGTGGAGCCTAAGGCCTCATTCACACAGGGTAGAGTGGGGCCGTACAGATCCGTGCGGCGTGCATGGCCGTATCGGGCCGTTCCTGGGAAGGACAGGTGCTGCGTGTGATTGCACGCAGCAACCTGTTCATCTCTATTGGAGGACACTGCCGTACGCTTATCCGCACACGGACACCAGCACCCGCACGGGTGTGCAGCTCCGTTGAGTGTACGACAGCGTACAGCCGCGTCCCCCATTAGGGTAGAACAGGCTGCGGCATACAATCACACCCAGCACCTGTCCTTCCCTGAACCACCCGATACGCCCATGCACGCCGCACGGATCTGTATTGCCCCGACCGTACGCTGTGCGAATGAGGCCTAATACAGAAAGAAAAATGTTTTTGTTTTTTAAATATATACATTCCATTTAGTATGGTTCTTCCAGTGATGGACATCGTAATGCATGTCAGTACTGTCAGATCTAAATTAGATGTAAACCCTGTAAAGTTGTCGTAAAAAGAAAAATACTTGTATTCACTTATTTTGATCTGCAGCCTCTTCGTAGACACTTCCTGTCTATATGCTCTCTGGAGATGGTTGAATGGCATTTCTCTGGGTGGGTTTTTGGATAGTGACAACATTGGGCAATGCCTTTTTAGTCTTACATTGTATTATTTGTGGGTGTGAGGCATGCCTGGCCACAGTGGGGCTTTATTATTGCCCTCACACTTTTGTAATATATTATTTTTATCAAAACTACAGTTGTACTTTAAACATGAGTTATATACTGTATTGTCTGCCTTGCAAATTCAGAAGAAAAGACCTTTATTGGTCACTTGGGAAATTGTGGATTGTTTAGTGTGGGTACAAGACTCGGCCATAAAAAGTGTCTTGCACTGATGAAATCGAGATATATGTCTTTGCTGTAAAGCAAAGGTTCACATTATCTTCTAATCACGGAGATCAGATGATTTATCCATCTCCATGGACAAATTCTGCAGAGCAAATGTCTCATTTGTAAGACTATCGCAGAATTTGAACATTGGTCCATTATAGGAAAATAGTTGCTGCATTGTGACATTGAATGGTCTATAGGCACCTTTCTGTACATCGTTGCTATGACCTGGAAGAAAAGTGTACAGGATAGCATCACTGAATGCGTTGGTGTGGAACCTTTTATCACACTTCAAGAATAATAGCTACAATTGACCAGCTGTATAGTTGCATCCTTTGCCAGTCATGCGGGTTAAGCTGTATCAATAAAATGCATCCTTTAATGGACAGGATATGTTCTCATAGATAATGATTCAGGCCTATAAGTGTACAGCAGGTGTACTGACACCGCCACCAGTACATGCACTTAGAAATATCGATTGCTTAAAACTGCTGCATCTAAGTAATGTGCGTTTAAAGTAAAATGCCACCCAAGAGTTAACGATTAGCAGGATTAGGTGAACTCTGTTTTAATATATTACTTACGGCCTTTGCCACGATCTGCTAATTGCAAAATCTCATGCCAAGAAAATCTGACTGCTCTTTTAAGGCTTGAATGGAAATACAGGGTCTGCTTATACTACAGCCCCCTCCCTGAATAAAAAATGCTAATTGAAAGTAATATAAAAAATTAGGAAAAAATTGTAAAAAAAAAATACTCGCCTTACATCCCAGCTTGTCAAGGCAAGTGTGACATCACTGGAATTTCTTGCAAGGTCCTGGGAAAAATAAGGATCCCAAATCCCACAAGAATGCATTCCTGCACAGTGCTGGACCGTGTTCTGTTGCAATTTGGTATCCTAATTTTTTCTCAATCCTACAGTGAGGCCTAGTGACATCACCGGTGCCTACCTGAAACGGTGGAAAGCTGGGATGTAAGGTAAGTTTTTTTTTTTGTTTTTTTTACATCCTACAGTTTATTCATTATTGCTTATTCATTAAAATGCAAAGTCCACTTTAAGCTGAGAATGTTAGAAAATGTCCTGATTCAGGTTATTGGGAGCTAAGGAATTTACCATGTTTTCTGTTTCCCTAACTAAGGCTTTTTTGGTGGAATTACTTGCCAATATTCTGTATATTTAATGTTCTGTATTCAGTATAATGTCAAGGTTTGTTTTTACCAGAACATAACTGGACTCCACGTAGGCAGAAAAAAATACATCAATTAATTTATTTAAGTATTCAATACATTGTAAAGTGTGTCATTCAAAACAACTAGTGTAAATATCTGAATTTGATTTGTTATTGGCCTTTTGCAATCCTATGTGCAGCAAGGCCAGCACTTGGAACCTGTCAGACTCTGATGTATACACATGTGCTGTTAAGGAACATACTGACAGAGGGAAAGAGAGAGACAACCTCATCAGTTTGTTCATTCACTGCCCAGTCACAGACTGACTAATGGTGAGATGACCTAAGTGTATTGCCTAACTGCAGTGGAATAAAGTCAGCTCACCAATCTGGTTGTGTAAATCTACAGAATTACAAATCAAGTTAAACAGCCTCCAAACATCTGTTTAATTGTGTATTGATCTGTTTCCTGCAGTTTAGCTTTAAACTCCACTAAACCTAAATTTTAGTTTTGGCCTAACGTAAAGGGATAAAATTCCTGTATAAATTATACGTCTCTATCTCCCAGTGATTTGATGAAATGCTACCTCAAATGTCTTGCTGCTCTTTTTAGCATTAGCCATTCACTTGCAGACTTCACCTAATGTTACCTGCTGTTTTATATATTGAATGTGACTTGGCAGTAATAGCCTCCTATACATCCCAGTGTGCTCTGTGCATACATTTTATTCTCTGTGACCACTTGGCTTTCTTACAATGATTGGGACTTGAAGAGCAGCCAAGCCTGCTGCAATCCAAGTCCTAAGGGAAGGTGAGGGGTTACTCTCTCTGCAGACCTCAATCATCTCTTCCCATAGTAAACTAGATTAGAACACAGAATGAGGTAAGGAAATGACTTGCTGGCCAGTGACTCCATTAATCAGTGTGGTCAACTTTTCTTCTTCCCCAAGTGAAATACGTTTCTGTGATTTATACTACAGTAACCAAATTATTACGTTCCTACAGGATCCTTGTGAGGATAAACGGCATAAAGACATTTGGTCTAAGGAGAAGACATGTGATCGTTTTCCCAAATTGCTTATAATCGGACCTCAGAAAACAGGTATTCTGATGTTGTATGTACAAGCCTGTAACACCTTGTAGTGTGCTGTGTTATATTTGTCCCTTGAGAAGGGGGATCATTAGTCAGGGCTTTCCAGAGGAGGCAGAGAGGAAGGATTACTACTTGATACAGAGTATGAAAAGAGAGGAAACTGAGAATAATACAGGATGTGGTGTGTGCACAGCAGGAGCCAGGATTAGTTTAGGATGTAAGGAGGTGGGTGAAAATAATGTGGGAAAAGAAGAGACTTCTAGACTGACCATGAACCAAAATGAATGCGAGGCCCTTGATTGGTTGGCACAGCTGCTGCGAAGTGTGGCAGCTGCAATGAATGCTTGTTATGTGTAAGACTGTTTGACATCATCAAAGGGCCACACATAATATTTAGTGTATATCATGCTACAGAAAACTGTCAGAGATGCAGATATACTACAGTAGATGGTCAAAGACTGCAGGCATGCCACTGGAGTGATTGGAGACTAAGAACATGTTCCAGGAGACCATCAGAGACTGGGAAATTGTTACATGAGACACCTTAGCAAATCAATACATCCACAATTGGGCTTTCCACAGCTCGCTTAAAAATTACAGACACCACATTTGATATTCCGCTAAGCATTATAAAGGATGCAGAAATAAAATACTTAAAAAAAAAATAAAAGTGTATTAACAGCGCAGAAAGAACTAATGTGCTAGAAATAAACAATTAAACTAGCAGAAACCAAAATAATGAATATTTCTTTTTTGTCCATTGAGTCTTTCATCTTCAGGTTATACTGCTGCCTTCTGGAGAATTGGACACTGGCAAACAAGAAACTGTATGCCAGACCAGGGTAACCCCTCCTACCACCAGCATGCCTCAGTTTTTGCTGTGTCCCAGGAGCATGGACACCCTTTCTCATCTTCCAATCAATATCCTGGAACTTTGTCTCATTTAACCATCCTGCTGCAGGGTCATCCGGTCTAGATTCAAATGGACAAATCCACAGCAGTGGTACACATTAACCATCAGGGAAGAACCAGAAGTCTTGTCACAGCAAGAGAGGAATATAAAATCCTGTGCTAGTTAGAACTCAACTTTTTAGCTTTGTCGGCCATGTACATCCCAGGCTTGGGCAATTGGCAGACGGGCTTACTCAGTCAGCAACCTCGGGGCCCAGGAAAGTAGTCTCTAATAGGCCTGTGTCACAGCAGGTAGATGCTAGATGTGAACCTTCTGGCCTCTATATTCCACAACAAACTGGACAGGTTTGTCTCCAGGTAGAGGGATTCTCTAGCAGTGGATACTCTGGTGGCTCTGTGGGATTAGTACACTTTGATCTATGCCTCCCCTGAAATTTCTTCCTCATCTTCTTCGAGCCAGAGGGAATTTCAGTGATTCTTATTGTCCCAGATGGGTCCAGGCAGATGTGGACCTGGGAAGGCTCCTAGCAGATGCTTCATGGGCTCTTCATGGCCACTGGTTTTAACAGGTTGGCTGTTGAAGCCCAGGCTCTGAGGGACAGAAGTTCCTCTGAATTGGTGATCCTTACAATGTTAAAAACTAGAAAGTCTACTTCTCTCAAGGTTTATCTTCATATATCTTGGGGTTTCCACCCTAGGAGACAACAAGGGTCCGGTTTCTGCTCTTTCTGTCTTGTTTCAGAGACTGTTGGCCTCTCATTCCTTGATTTAAGACCATTGGACAGGGAGTCTCCCATTTGGCTCCCCCTGTTCCTTCTCCCGTTACTCAGTAGGCTCTAAATCTGGTTCTGTGCTTTAGAAATTGCGATTTAAACCCATTAAACACATTCCTCTCTCCATGCTTGCCTATAAGGTGATGCTCCTTGTAGTCATAACCTCTACAAGTGGCGAGTCTCTGAATTGACGGCCTTATCTTGGGGAACTTTTTGTAGTCCTACATAGGCATCTTTCTTCCTTTCCTCTGTGCGATTCCTTGTTCACCCCAATATAAATTTCTCTTCATTGTCTGGATGTAGTTTGGGCTGGGAGAGTTTATCTGTCAGCCACTGCTTCTTTCAGGAAGACTGGATGGCCCTCATAAGGGTTTACAGACTTCTCTTTCCACCATTTCTCAGTGGCTCAGACAGACCATGATCCAAGCTTCTGAGTCTCAAGGGTCGAGTTCCACCCTTTCCTGTCAAGGTACACACTACTAGATTGTGTGTTTCTTGGGTTTTGGCACCAGGCCACTGTTTCTCAGATTTGCTAGGCTGCTCTTCTGGTTTTCTGTTCTTGGTTCTACCAGAAGGACCATGAGGCCTCATCTCATGCAAACTTTGGGCGTAAGGACATTCTTTTTAAGCTGCAGGCTTCCCTGGTTTTCTGTTGTTTTCATGGGTCTGTTAGCATATGTTTGCTGTGCTGCCCAACCTTCAGTTGGACTGCTTTTTGGACATCCCAAAGGTGAAAGACTTCCTGTGTCTCTCAATTGACATGAAAGAAAATAGAATTTTTGTACTTGTGACACAGACAGTTTCCAGTTCTTTTAAACCATCCCTATTGTTAAATTTTGATGTGCTTTAAAGGAGAACTATGGGGTCAGTGTTTTTCCCCATAGTTCTCCAAAGGGTAACAGGAGGACACAAACTAGCGTCCTCCCGTTACCCTAAGCTCAGTATACCGCAAGCTACAGCTCGCGGTATACTGAGACGCCGCAGCCGGGACGGATCACGACTCTTTTGACGGGATCCGCCCAGCTGCGTGAGTGACAGCTGGCTCTGCCTATCTAGAGGCAGAGCCAGCTGTACCCGCCCCCTCCCCCGTCCGTTCCGCCAGTCAGCGCTGGCAGATCGGATCGGTAAGAGGGGAATGCAGCCCCTCCCCCTGTCACGGCAGAGAGCCGTGACAGGATCGAGAGGTGAGGGAACCCGGTATGTGTTCCCTCACCTCCCGTTCTACTGAGCCGACCTGTGACAGTCTCATTGTCACAGGTCGGCTTAGAACTATGAGATGAGTGGAAATCACTCATGTCATAGTTCTCCTTTAAGCAGGGGATGTTCCTTTTTGTTAAATCCAAGGCAGCTTCTTTGTATTATTTGTTTAATGCCGGCATCCTACATTCTTTTATGCTTTAAAGAAGGATGTTCTCTAGGTCATACATTTGTAGACCGGTTGATTGATCTGTATGTGTAAGAGAGCAAGTTTTTAGGTCGATTTCTTAAATCCCTAATATGCCATTTCCAAACCAAGGGCATTAATATGGAGTTGCCTCTTCCTTTGTGGTTACAACTGCCTTCACTCCTCCGGAAAGGCTTTCCACAAGATTGTGGAGTGTGCCTGTGGGAATTTGTGCCCATTCAGCCGAAAGAGCATTTGTAAGATCAGGTACTGATGTTTAACCGGAAGACCTGGCTCGCAATCAGATTTCAAGTTCATCTAAAAGATTTTCATTAGAGGTAAAGTCGGGGCTCTATGCAGACCACTTGAGGTACTCCACACCAAAGTCATTAATCTGTGTCTTTATAGAGGTAGCTTGGTACACTGAGGCACAGTTATGAAAAAGGCCTTTCCTAAAGTGCTGTTAAAATGTTGGAAGCGCACAGTTGTCTAAAATGTCTTTGTATGTTACAGAATTAACAGTAACAGTCACTGGAAGCCTTTGAACTCTGTAACTTGGAGTTGTCCACATACTTTTGATCATATAGGTAGGTTTGATGGTCAGGTGTCAGCAAACTTTTGGCCATACCATGTATGTCTCTGTTCGGTTGCCTGAAGACATAGCTGAACAAGAATTCTCTGGAAAAAATAACAATCAAACAAGTTAGAAAGCCATGCACCTTTAGATTTCAGCACCACAGGATGGTATTCATCAGCCGACGGGACACGCAGCTGCTGAATACTTGAACAGTGACTGCATCTGATTGAATGCAGTCCCTGCACAGCCAACAATTTTCCACCTAGCTACTTAAAAAAGTTGGTTGAAAAATCAACTTTTGTCAAGCCAGGTGGTGCTGACAGGGCCACCCACAGCTCAAATTTCAGCCAATACAGCAGGATTCAGAAGAAATTCGAGCAGTGTATGGCCAGCTGTACCCAGGTCACTGTTGTATCCCAAGATAAGACTGCACCAGAATATGCATGCCACTCTTTATTACATGGGAATGTTCAATATTGTTTATGTGACCACCAGCAGACACGAGTGCCTGATGGTAATCAAATCAAGCCTCTTTATCTGACTTCCGTGTAAAGTCAGTAGACCCTTCTTCAGAATTCTTCTTATCAGCAATTTATTTAACCATAATCATATTTGTGTTTGTCATTCTGGTGATGTTCACATTATGGGGATTACAGTATTAAGTCATATTGTGACCATCTGCATTTCCAGGAACCACTGCATTATACCTCTTCCTAGGAATGCACCCAGACCTGAGCAGTAACTACCCTAGTTCTGAGACCTTTGAGGAGATCCAGTTCTTCAATGGACAGAATTACCACAAGGGGATTGACTGGTATGTTGCCTCTTTTTTGCTGTTGTCAGGAGCTGTTAATAAAACAGTGTAGTTGAGGCTCCATTAGCATTGAAACATTATAAAAACACATATGTGCCTGTAACCTTTTGCTGGATTCTCGAGTGTATTAAAATGCAGAAAAACACAGACCAAAGCATGCCAAAATTCACATTGAATCACATGAAAACACTTGTGCCTTTTGAGGGGTAAGTGGCTTTGAGGTGAATGGGGCCTAGATTGATTGCTATAAGATCTTGCCTAGGATTGTCTTGGATTGGGGTGGCACATAGTTATTACCCCCACTTGGCACATAGTTATTACCCCCACTTGGCACATAGTTATTACCCCCACCAAGCAAACACTAGGTCTGAGGGAGTATATGTGAATAGGTAAAGCGATTTTACATTACATCTAAAACTGCATGCAACCTTAAAGCGTATGTCAAGACAAAATACAAAAAAACAGAAACATGCTGTCTCTGCAATACATACACATTTTCCTGTGTTTTATCCCTTTAAAGACTCTGCAATATGTGTGGCAAAAGTTAAAAAAGATTCTCTATCTGTCAGTATTACTAGCTCAAAGTGTGAGATAATGGACTGTCATGCTAAATCAAACAGCACGTATTATGTGTATTTGTTTTTCCAGGTATATGGAGTTTTTCCCCATTCCATCCAACACCACTTCAGACTTGTACTTTGAGAAGAGTGCCAACTACTTTGATTCAGAAGTAGTTCCCAGGCGCGTGGCTGCATTGCTTCCTAAAGCCAAACTCCTCACCATACTTATTAATCCTGCAGACCGCGCTTATTCATGGTATCAGGTAATCTATATGTCTGTTTGTTCGATGGCTATTGCAAGTTTCTTTTTTAATTTCCTGATTACAAAAGTGTAGACCCACAATGTTATTTCTCCTTTTTTCAATATTATTTATATATCTGCTTGACACTCTGTTCACACCTCTGCGTTAGCTTGTTTGCGCATATTAGCAAGTGTTTTGTTTAGTGTGTCGCCTGGCGTGTTTAGTGCATTTTGTACATTTTAGCGAGCAGATTTAAATACATTGCTTTGAATGGACATACGCTCGCAAAAACATGCACAGAAATGTGCAAAATGCTTGTGTTGCGTCTTTCCGTTAAAGGCTATAGGGCCAAACGTGCTGTAATCTGGCAAAAGATTTTCTTACATTTTTTTTTCTTCAATCAAGAATCTTTTCTACATTGCTGCTAGAGGCACTGGGTTCCTCATGGGGCAGTTTCCAGGTCTGGAGCTGTTGATATTGCTTTAGCATTTGACCTGTCTCTGAAGACTTACATAGTTATTGGGCCCATCAGGTCTCATTTACTTTCCTAGTTGTTTACATTTATTCCCTGTCCTGCTAGTTTTGCTGCAGAAGGGGTTAATGCAATGGGACTGAACACTGATGTAATCTGCTGGGGGGAGTGTTGCTTGCGTGCTCCATGCTTTCTTTCTTGCCATGCGGCATTGAGGAAGCATCTTCCCCGTTGCTGCTCATGCCACATGGAAGGGCCCACGTAGAGTGTCTAGTCACTGCCAGCCATCTGACCCTCACTACCTGCTGTCAGGTTTCATGAGTACCTGAAGACTTTTACCTTAAACCTATATGTTGCCTGACTGCTGCGCAGTTGCAACATGTGTGATTCTAGGCACAGGCCAGAGTGTTCCTTCTGCAAGAGAAAGTTTACAGCCTCCAATCTCAGATTTAAACTCCCTAGTCCAGGAGTCGTTTGACTTTCTGCTTCCGTGGAAATCTTAGGTCTGATGGTAGCCTCCTTTTGAGGCAGTTCCATTTGTCCAATTTCACTCTATTCAGGGGTTCAGGGGAATGGTGGCAAAAGACAGGGTGACTGGGTGCAATGATCTTTTGTTTAGTTTTTTTGTGGTAGGTGATGGGGTTCAGTGGTCATTCCTTTGTGATATGTGTAGTGGGCATTTTTTTCTATGTGACAGGGTGATGGGGTGCAGTGGTCATTTTTTTGTGACAGGACGCCAGATTGTAGTGGTAATTTTTTGCTTTAGGACTACATACTGGTATCATTTCCCTGCATTTTTTTATCTTTAGCAAATTCAGGAAAAAACGATTACACACAACTGTTCCACCTGTGATATTTCCAGCCTTTTTGCATTGGCAGGCCCAGACTTTATTAGGGCCGATCCACACTAGCAGTTGCACTACAACACACAGCTACCAGTGTGCATTGGCAGGCACAGTGCTAGTGCGCCAACCCTGATGCACATTTTTTTGTTTTGGGGTTTTTAAAGCTTTATTGTAAAGTCACAAGTGGCATTTCATTAAGTTCTTTGGGCACAGAGGGGTGGATGCATGCAGTACTTTTTTCAGCGCACACCACCATAAGATAGTGGTGTGAACTGAGCCCATTAGAAACAAGGCAAATTGCCTTGTCTAGTGTTAGGGCTGCACTGGACAAAGCGGGCAGTGCAGCCCCAACACATCTGGTGTGACTCCATCCTACTGTAAAAAGGCATTGACAAGCTTTAACAAGTTTTTTTTGTTTTTCCACAACGCCTATTTAGTATGAGCCCCTAAACAAAGAAAACGTAACCCACAAAAACATTGTGTGTTTTATTTTAAGATCAGCCCATTAACATTATTTTTTCTTTTTAGCACCAGAGAGCCCATGATGACCCCGTGGCCCTGAAATACACCTTCCAAGAAGTCATTACTGCTGGGCCTGATGCTCCTTCAAAGTTAAGAGCTCTACAGAACAGGTGCCTTGTCCCAGGATGGTACTCCACTCATATCGAACGCTGGCTAAACCACTTTCACGCTAACCAGGTGACTGATGCCATCATCCATTACATTTAATATGTACTTTTTCATGAGCAATTTATTTCACAAAAGAAATAATATTGTTCACTGTTTGGGAATTTGAAGATACGCCTCAGTCAAAAACAATCCTTTCAATATATGCAGGACAAAAAGCCTGCCGAGAATGGATTTTATCCAGCTGCTGTTGGTGATGCCTGCCAGTACAATGTATGTGCTTATCATATCTGTTTAGAGCCCCCCATGGTAGACTATCACTTTGACCTGGTGATGGACTAATACAGTAAATCTAAACACAATCACAAAAATCTCTAAGTTTAAAGACATAACTGTAATAAATAAAATTTTAAAAAATACAGCTTTAGTTAAAATTCTTCTGCAGGCACTACCTGTTATGGAGTGATAACTATCCCCCTTTTCTACTCCTGCATTGCTACCCTGTCGCATGCACTTCTGGTGGAGACTGCAAGCAGCCAGGCTAACACACATTGCCCTGGCACGGTCCACTTTTGTCTTTTGTCCTAAACCTGAATCCGGAGCAACATTGTGCAGCCAACACTAGAGCAAGTGCATGTAGACAGGAAGTGGCTGAAGGGGGTTGTAGAAGATCAGTAGCAATGAGTGAAAACAGTATTTCTTTCTTGTCCACTGAGGGACGCAGGAAGAAGTCCTTAACCTGTGGGTTATTCTGCTGTCCACCTTTTGTCCTCTTCATTTTCTTCTCTACATCACGGCTGCAGCTCTGTCTCCTCAATTCCAGCTCTCTGGCACAGTCAGCCTAGCTGTGGAATGCTTTCCAGTTCCAGAGCTGCTGGTATTCCCTCTGTGCTTTTCCTGACTCTAAAGACTCACTTATTGAATGGGAAGGTCAGGCTGAGCACCAGATGCTACCTCAGTTATTTAGGCTGTTGGGCAACTTTATTCCCCATTTCAGATGGTTTTTGCATGGAAGACTATAACACTGTGGGCCTCATGCTGACATTGTCCTCTGGGTGGAGTGTCATGCACTCACTCCCTGCTCTATTTTCTGTCATACCGCATTGAGGAAATATCTCCCCGCTGCTACTCCTGCTTTTGAAGAGCTATGTCGAACTTGGATCTGTTTCTGCCCACCAGTGACTTTAGTAAGCTCCAGCCTTCCGACACTCGCCTATCAGCAGCCTTTTACCCTTAGCGTATATGTTGCTTTATTGCCATGCGATCGCAACAGGTCTGATTCTAGACAGGGCTTTTATTAATGCAGTGCAGACCGCTCTGAAACCAGAGGACTAGCTTGTTGCATCAAACAGTGCTTGGGCTATTTAAAACTCTTAAGGGCACAAAGACTTTCCTGTTGCATCTGCTTTTCTAACTATTTCTCTATGGGTCCTAATATCCTAATATGTTATAAGAAGTGGTTTATTCCTATTGTGGAACCAGTAGTGTCCCGCCTAAACAAATCACCTACTATATGGTAGAGGGCATGCCTGTCTTTAGAGTAGTACTAAAGCCACAGCTTTTTTATTAGAAGTACATCCCTCTTGACATAATAATGACAATGCCACTCACATTTTACTGGTGCAGCATCGAGCTTACTCTGTGCAGCTTTACCAAATGTCTGGACAAAGAGTGAGCTCTTTGAATGTAAACAAAAGTCTCTTGATAAATCTCCTTGGAACGGCATGATCCATCATTCCTAGTGCAGTCATGCATGTACGCCCAACAGGAAGTCATAGTTTTTTTTCATCTGGACTTCCTCTGCATGTCCAGCACAGGCAATGGCTGCATGTATTCCAGAGCTCGCTCATAAGAGTGGCTCTATCAGGGCTCCATAGGGTCCTACAAGTTAAAGAAGAACTCTGGATAAATCAAAGTTTAACCCTTGCATTGGGGCTACTTCCGCACTGCAAGGGTTAAGTGCTAGTTTTGTCTAGGGATCTAAAATAACAGAGTTATAGTCACAGGACCACAATCCTGGCTGGCTGTTAGACCAGTCCTTTCAGACTGCGTCCTTCCCTTCATCCGATTCTGGCTGTGACCTTACTTTGTCAAACCATGTCTGACTGGTCAAAATCTCTTAAATGAAATCAAACATCTCAGCTTGCATCTCACACATATTGTTGCAGAATGTGGTATAGCTACAGACTGGAGTTTCACTCCTTGTTCCCTCTTCAGTTTCTCACCTCCAACCTTCTTGTGTTACCGCACAGACTAGCAGATCTTCATTGAGCCCTTTCAGGTCTTCTGGATCCAGGTGTTGATGCCCCAGTTGCTGTGGCAAAACAGTTTCAGGGTCTTACTCCAACCTGTTAACTTTTCTGAAGCCCAGAGGGGGCATATGCCCCATTCTGAAACCTAAAGCTCTGACTGTTTTCATTTGAGTCTGCAATTTTGCATGGAATCTACCGAATTTGTCACCAACTCCCTTCACAATGGAGACTTTCGAGCTTTTGTGGACATTGAAGATGCTTACCTACATGTACCCATCTTTCCAGTGAATCAGCGATTCCGACACTGCTGTGGAGTCCCTGCACTACCAGGTCATGTCCCTGCCCTTTGGCCTCTTGTATGCATGTCAGGTAGTCACCAAGGTGCTGGCCCCAGTACTTTGCCCTGCTGCATTCCCATTGTGGGATACTTAGATGACCTCCTGAGGAAGCAGTCAGTGTGA